TATTAGTTCGAAACACCTGTAGACGCTAGTATGTGATTAAATTTATTGAATTCTGGCCAACACTGGAGAATGCATGTCAGAGAGCGGGGAGCATGAATCTGTCAGGCAGTGTGTCCGTGTGTGTAGTGCGGGCCTTGTCATTGTCATCCAACTCTCGCCCTTGTGAATGACCGACAACAAACAAAGGGACTCGACCATAAGCGAACTGCAGCCATAGGTAATGCCAAACACCTAAGTATATTCTCATGAAGATACCTACGCCTGTTTGCATTCCCCATCACAAATTCACACCTGCTTTTAGCTTGTCTCTAATCGCCCGGTCACCTTAACCACTAAAACCACACCAATATAGATACATACTCTCCGGACTCCGGCTGTCACTACACACCGGCCGGGCAAGCATGCTCACTCACACCTAGTTGTTTTCAATATTGAATGATTACAATAATACCTGTTATCCGAGACCTGGCAGACCTGTTCATCAACTATTGCTCACACTTTATCTTGAATGGCGTCTCGTTACGCCCCTACTCGTTTACCTGGCTTCGATTTGTGCACTTGTCCCGCTCTCCTATCCATACCTACTCATATTAGCACTGGCATACCTTGACTTGACCTATTCATCCGAATAATCGGCCCTTTTCCCTTTCCTTCTCGTCCCTTATACTTTGCTACTATCACTTCACCTTGACCAAGGCTGTTCTGGTTGTTGCATTGTTATTATCCCGCTGAACATGTGCTTCAGTAAATGGAAACCTGCTGAACCGTATACCTATTATATCTCCGGCGTCACGAGTCTTTGGCCAACATAGTTGCGCAACTTATACATGATCATACAAAAATGTCTTCAGGAATTAATTTGTAAATATTGTTGTATCAAAAACACTGAAAACATAGGTATACCCTCTGACCTCTGAAAACCTACCACAAGATTTTACTATTCCTATTCATATCATTCAGCCAAAATTCATCAGGTGTAGTCAAGTCGAACCCTCAGACGCAATCTTTCGACTCAATTCACGGATCTGCCATTCATCATCGACTCATGAAGAAATGCTGAAATCCTACGGATTTTATACTCAATGCACAAGCCAGATACTCCGAAGGGTTGACTTATGTGAGTTGCCAATTCAAATCTGATGATCATTTAATTATCCTATAGCTAGAAATGAGCATAAATTAGTTCATTCACTCATCGGATTTTTATTTCGTCAGCTTTTCATGTAAATACGAGTGTAAAATATATTTCACTTGAAGTGTCAGGTGTCAATATTATAATAGGTACTCGTCTTTATCGCGATGTGCTCAGCGATGCTAAAATTTGGTGTCATTGCAGCCAGCACGAATTGACGCCATTGACATATTATGGTAGTCGAGGTTTATGCACTGTATATGTATGCACTTTCTTCGATCCAATCACAAAATGTACCCCTTTCAAACAGATATAGGTATTTTGAAATATTTGGATCCAAATCACCAAGTTTCATCTTCAGTATGGAGAATCAGAATGGTATCATTTCTTTTTTCTTGTACTCTTGGGAAACCTCCCATTAACATAAAGCTGATATATATAGTTGGGTTTGGTATATCTAGTTGAGTATATAGCATATTTATGAGAGCTTTGTTTACAGTTCATGTTCTGCGCACTAGGAGTTCTATGTAGTCAGTCTAAAATTACCATAAAATCTAGTTAAAGTCCGAGTTAAAGTATCCGATATTGAATTCAGTACATCGGTGAAATTATGTCTATACCTACATTTTAGCATTATATAACTACTAGCTAAACTTTACCTAACCTTTTTACCTCTGTTGTATTGTCTTGCATTTGGTATCTCCTCACCTTGACCAAGGCTGTTTCATGGCTATTATCCATTATCCTGCTGCGAACATGATGTACGATGGATCATTTCGATTCTAGTCACAACACACCCAGAATATCTAATTATTCTATGAAGCGCGACCAATCACATATGCAGTCACGCTCCAGCCAATCCTGATAAACTACCTCTCATGAATTTCAATATTAGGACTGCGCATTCTAATCTTATAGGTCTCTTCTCTAGTAAACAAAATCAGAGTAGCGAGCTATATAGGCATTACATCTTGAGATTCTTCTTGTATTGCAATATTACAATCTTGAGATTCTTCTTGTATGCTTTGCTTTGGTAATTTACGCATATTTGCAGGAAAATTCTAAACATTCTTATCCATATGAAATCTAGAGGCCCTTGGGCATACTTATCGATACATATTCGCCTTTTTAAGTGATCTACTCATTTCACTTAGCCCTTAACCGTTTTGGAATAACATACCTGGGTTTCTCATTTTAAAATATAAGGTTGGTTCAAGTAGTATATGGTACTCCGTTGGTATGTATGTACAGGGTGAACAACTAAGAACGACTTTCGGCCATATCTCAGCAACGAATAATGATACAAGTTTGAGATAGAATAAATCTAATGGTATGCATATCATTACACGATGGATGTAATAGAGAAACTCCATCTCAACAGACCAACGAAAACCGCAACATGATAGGTTTTTGCCAACGGAAGATATTAACTGTCAAAGTTGGAATAATGATAGATATGATAGTCGTTCTTAGTTGTTCACCCAGTACATACCAACTGATGGCTATCGATTTCTGTTGAAGTATTCTTCAGCTCAGAGCGAGGCTCAAAGTGTTGTGAATGGTGTGGTACGCCATCTTAAGGAGCAGCACTGTTAATTGGAATGCAAAAATGATTCTTGCAGGACTATACCCAGCATTTTTTTGAATGTTCTGGTTCCCACGAAAAGGGATATCCTGTAATGTTCAGAGAACATCGTGGTTCAGAAGAAATATTAAATCTGCCGTATTTCCATTTTCTTGTATCACAAACAGAGCAAAAGCCTGGTAGAGTTGTGTTGCCTCATAATACAGCTCGTAATACAGGGTTCCATAAAGGTTCAATAAAATTAACAGCAATGGTTAATGGGTATTTTACCTCAACTAAATAGTACGTCAGACTATTCTTCTCCTACACTTACTCACAGATGATCTACTTCGAAATACCTTGATCATGGCACTGCAGTATACCTATATCATTCTTATTGCATCAGTAAAATATTTGCATTTGTTTCATTTCTATCATTCTACTAATATGGGAACTGGACTTTTGATAAAATATATCGTAAACCCGTAGGCCCGTGCAAATAAAATGATCCTCTCTGGTATATCCGTTTTAGTTTACGCCTTGCGAGATGCCTTGGTATACATTAGCATGAGGTAATCCCTAGCAGATACTCAATGTTAACAGTTAGGAGAATCTAGAAACCGGTCGTATCCACCCTCTCCAGCGGGATCACCGATTCGCAACCATATGGTTGTCAAACCTGTACCGTCTTCGGCACGTGGAGGTTCCGGTTTACTGTGGTGGGCCCCCTCAACCCTGGGCCAGAACCGGCCCGTGGAAGACGCCAGTCGGCCACAACGCTTTTTTGATCCTGAAATAATAGACTCGATCTAAACCGGTAACGGTAGTAAAGATGAATCGATGTAGTAAAACATCCTCCTCACGTTTATGACTCGATATATTTCAGTTCCATCATCTGGTTATAATAAGCTTCATATATATACGTACTCTATACCAGATCGATTCGTTGTATTACTTGTTTAAATCCCAGTCAACGAATTTTTGGTTACATATTGAAAGTTACATTCGATATAAATTCACAATATTTATGGAATATCTTGGTGGATGGTGATGTCAGTAGCAGCATTCTTTGTCCCTTGATATATTTTGCAACTCGGTATATTCACTATATCGAATCACTGCAACCCTCAAATCACACCTCGTAATAATTAGATTATGAAACGAACGTCAATAGGTTTGTTACATTCTGCAGGAACATAGGAAAATCACTCTCAACCGGAATGGATCAATTTTTGATAGAATTCTATAGTTCGAATTATAGCTTGAGGCTAAATATATGCATGATGATATTTTGAAGGAGCGGAGACTTAAATCCGAGCTTAAATCACTTGGACATAATATGAATGTTCAGTATTCTGTGATATGAGGATCTTTCGCAGGAATTCTGCTCCCAGTACTGACTCATTCTGCACACAAAATGTATTGAAGTGCTTAAGATAAAAAATATGTTTGAATTTCATGAAGAAATAGAAAAATGAGATATATTTTGTATCCACTAAAACAACTGCATAACCAAATTTAATAAATTGGATAGATGCACTCAATTTCATGAAAATTCAATAACCATACGAGATATTCTCATTATTTCCACTTGGTAATACTATCTATTCCTATGGAAAATCGAATGGCTCCCATATTTCATTCATTTCTTGTGGTTGATATGATTTGGTATGTGGATTTTTCCCGTGACTCTGATATTTGAATCGCTAATCGTCAGTGGTCTGATAAGCCAAAACACCATTTCCCTTTGTCTGCTTCCACTGAAAAAAAGAAATTCAGTAGTTCCAACAGGAAAGTTCTGTTTAATACACACTGCTAAATATTTAGTGCACCCTGCCATATAATTCAGCACCACTAGCTCAGTCATTATCACTATATACTAAGTAAGTATCACGTGATGCTGAACCAATTCTGATGGTCTTAGGCACTGGGATATTCTGCTGAGAATGCTGATTTTTTTTTGCTAAGATCGCAATCAAAAAGTGTTCATGATGAGCGATATTTATTTTATCTTGCCTAATACGAATGGTTGTTGACACGACCTCTTTGTTTCCATAACTAAATGATTTCCCCAAACTAAACCTAATTTTTCCATGTTAGAACATTTCTTATCGGCTGTTTCTTTTCATTTTCAGATGATCAAACTAGCCATCCTGCAACGCAACCAACACTCGACTGATATCTAACCGATTCATGTAACAGCCATATCAGTGCCATAACAAAGACACCCAATATCCAATACGTAAACAAGTGCAATATAATAAAGTGACTTCTGTGATACAAAGAACTCTCGATGCCATAACCATGACCCGAAGACAAGTAGACGACCTCTCCTCCAACCCCTCGCCACTAGGTGACCATCAAGATCACGGGATGATGTCCCCACCGCCTCCGCAAGCTTCCCCCGCCCAAAGATCCCCTTGCATAAGGGAGCAGTCGGAGTCGCCCACCCTTTTGGCAACCATGACGCCAGTCAACGTTATGGAGCTCAAGAAGGAGATGGAGGAAGAAAGTGCCATGGGAAGACCTCCCCTATACGCTCAGGTGAAGACCGAAGTGTTGTACGAGAAAGATGACGATATTTATGCTCAAGGGATGCAGGACAAGAATGATGCCCCGATAGACTTGATCTACGAGGACGGAAACAAAACTGTTATCTATACTACCGCTCCCGATCAATATTCCGCGGACAATTCGGGCGAAATAACTATCAATAACATTAGCGCGCATCAGATAAACGGTCAGCAAATTTCGGACGTGCTCATTGATAACGCGAGTACCATGTCTGGAGAGCCAGTTGGCAGTCCACAGGGCACGGTCTCTGTAGTCCTGCAAGGCAACGGACAAGGTCTGCTGCAGTATCCTGCGCAGGCGCAGGTCCCTGGTACCACGGTACTGGTACTGTCAGAGCTGGTGGACGATGTAGGAGTGCCAGTTGTCGGACTCAGGTTAGTAACACGATCTAAGTATTTGAGGTACCTATCTTATTCGTTTTCATTGACGTTGTTGATAGAACCCTCGATAGAACCTGATGTATATATCGCATATTCTTATGTGTCTACATACAAGTATGGAATAACCCGATAGGCTATAATGGGTTATAGGTATATGTTTGCAGCCTGATGATGAGTATATGTTGGAATGTCGTTGAAATTGTAATGCCCGCGAAATGTTCAATGAGGTATTCGAAAATGGAACGTTCAGAAGGTGGAGCTGTGATGTTCAGTATAGAAGTGTGAAAACTCTGGGATCCTTCATTTGCTGAATAGAATAGAATTATTTTTATTGCTTCCATGTAAATATATATATCTACATATAGCAAGGTTTTAGCTTGCTGCAGAAGAAAAGCTCTCCTAGTTCATAGTGAAATAATTCTTTGTACAAGTAATAGAAAAAAAAAATACATTAGCTAGATATAAAGAAGGTACATACCATAATGGAAATACAGAGCAACCCATACAACAGAAAAAAAGGAGAGATGAATGACCTAAGTCTTAGCATGTTTTCAACATACGAAGAAATTAATTTAACTTTCTGTAAATCTGAAGAGTTGAAAAATTACATAAATCGTAATATCTGATGCTCAATTTAGATCAGAGCCATGTTTGTATAATTGTTCTTATCGAATGAATTGGACATTTAAAACTTAAATACGTCTGTGGGTTTCTGGATGTTGTCAAATAATAAAAAAATCGGCAAGTACTTAGATCCTAGCTAGATCTTCATAGTGCAATTTCTCTGAGTATCTTACAATTAAATTTCGGAAATTTGTCTTTAGATAGTGTATGTTGATATTTTCCCAGATACCGGTAGACCCAATATTGGCAAAAATCGAGGCAAAAATAGTTCGACATTGAACAACCCAGCTATATCGAAGATCCCCAGACTGTAGTTGACGCAACCTATAGAAACATATTTTAGGCCAACGGTTACAGTCCATGATAAGTATCTTTTGTAGCCAATTTAACGAGCAATTTAATAAACATTTTTGAAAACTACAAGCGCAACTTTAACTCTATCTGTTTCGACAGGAATAAGAACATCAGGTATGTTTCTAGGAAGAAGTAGAAGCGAGAGTAGAAGTCTCTTGAAAAACCTTGTTTGCACTTTCTTCGATAACTAAATATCGCAAAGACCATATCGGACTCGATATCGGACAACAAAAAGAGAAGCAGTTTTCCATAAGGGTTTCAAACAGTCGAGCAAACAGTTCAATACGTGCAGACCACGAGTTTATCTTAGCTTGAGCCATTATATCTATCACAGCCACAGTAGACTGCTCAACTTTTGCAATGGTATAGCTTGTCATTTCTCCTGTCATGAAGAGTTATATTTCACACCTAAATACAAATAGTCTTTAAATATATTAATTTCTTGATTTTTATGCAAGAAACGATATGGTCTAATTAATTTATGACCGCCTTTCGAAAAACAAAGTATTTTAGTTTTGGACACATTTACACTTAAGATCCTTTCAAAATCCTTAGATTCCTAGGAACTCGAGGAGCTGTTATCAAGAATGAATCCTCGAAATAATAGGGAACGCTGATGGGGCACAATACATTCACCCATACTGCGTGTTTCAAGAAAGCATTTGGAAAATTTGTTTCTCAAAAAATTTTACAAAGCATGCCAGTTTTTATTTTTCCTTAAGACCAATCTTTATGTGAAATAAATGTTTCTATATTCTCTAACTCTACATTAGTAATACATGAATTTCCATTGGAAATTTGAATTGCAATGAGGGATTGAGTTTCTGTTGGAACAACCTCTTCATATTGATCGATAATATATGTAATTCCGTTTCCAAAATACAGGAGTTATTATATATTGTCACGTATTTTCATGACCAGAAATGACGAAGCATATATAATACGAAAAATGATGCATTATTGGGCCTGAGCTTCTTTCAGAATCAAACTGGATCTGGAGGCTCTTTTCAGAAACAGCAAGTAACTCGGCTGATGGAAGTACTATTTTCATCTTCATCTATCAATATCCGATACGTATATCTAATAATCCTCGAGTAATATATCTCATATTATGATTGGCAGACCTAACTGAAATTGTCGTAAATACAAACCTACTCGCAAAATTTATTTGAAACGCAATATAAACTTGAAAACAAGTTGCAAGAACGGTGAGAGAAATGATTTACTGTTGCTATAGAAATTGAGAAAACGTGACCCTAAGATTACACCTGAGTCATTTCACAATTGGCTTGTAATTATTCCCTGCTTTACGAATCGTCACTATTATAAATGATACGAAGTTATAAAAGTGTGGCCGTCATTGCCCGACCTTGGATGCAGACATCATATTTAACTTTATATGTATCTAATGAAACTATTACAATTGCAAATGAACGACGATAAAACTTCAATATCCATCCTTTCATCACAACGTAAGAGTTCGTGCTCGTTCAATGAAAAGTTTTTTGACTATAGAAGACTAACGCTCGATCGAGCTCTCGAGTGTCGATTCACCAGCGAGATGGTAGAAGACAATCTTTGGTAGAGGCAACACTGTTCATCAATTTCGGTTGGTCCATACAAATATTTCAAGGTCGAATGATGATAACAGACTCCATGCTGTGAAAGAATAGCCGAACCTTCTGATGATTCTATAATATTAATTATTGTTAGATTATTTTTTTATTTTTTGAATCAAGAATTAATTATGCACGTGGAGTGAATGGCATCATACTCGGCATTATTTCTGCAGGTTTTGGTTATAAAGAAAAAATTAACGATCGCACACCGGTTTATGAGTTTATATTCATTATGCACTTCAGGTATTTAAAGGGTACCTTTATTCACTATTTTCGGGGATAAAGTGGTACTTTAAATCCCTAGGGATCTGAAGTAAATTTCTTTGCAATGAAAGCTATTTTCAAAATATCTATTGCAATAAAATTGTGGCTCTTATCATAGAATATACGCTCCACAATGACGATGCTTTTTTTGAATGTTTTTTGACTTTTCCAAGAAATATGCTAGCAGTACCTTCTCTTCTGTACATTTCTCTACGTTCCATTCTTTGCACCATTTGATAAACTCAGATAACTGTTTTTTATATTGTTCTCCAGATTTTCTTGGTAATAATTGGCCTTCAGCTTCTTCAGCTGCCTTTTCGGTTTGCTCCATCGCGATCAATGTCTTTCAATCGGTGTGGCGTATTTGACTAATATTTATTTATTTATGTTTTACTTTGTTACTTGTCATAACACATCAAGATTTTCAGTTGCCGATGACAATCATGATCTGGATCACCATAGTTACTGAGGTCGTTGATATGGTAACAATAGCACGAAATATAAACACTCCATACATAAGCGTTTTATTCCTGAAAAATATTCGATGATTATATGAGATTTCATATATCACCATTTATAAATACCCTCGTATTATAAGGACGATGACAATTTTTTTTAAATTATGCGTTGAGTCCAACTTCGATGACGTCAGCGTTTTAATGGACGCCGAATTCAAGGAAAATATACAAACAAGGCCATAACATTTATTATCTTTTCGATATGGTGTTTCTGATTTATTGTTCATGCTTCATGGGATTATTTGTTATTTATTTTACACTGGTAACATATCACCGAGTCGCCTGGGTTTTGGTCAGTTTAAATAAGTACGTTGGACGATTATATTTTAGAATTTGTCAAAATTATAAAATTTTTTCCACTATTTTTTCGTGTGATCTAATAACAGTTACTGATGTGACATTGAGTAGGCATAATATTGGCTCGAATATAGGTAGTAAAATTAATGAATTGGATGTATAAATAATTATTGGAATAATTCCGAAGTCGTACCAATTGAAAATCGATGGCATGAAGTTATTGGAGAAAATCTCCTATACATATACATATAATGTGATGCCTAAAAGTGCCTCTTTGTGAGCACATCCAATTTTCCGAATTTCAAATACCTCGTAAGTTGCTAAATAATATCAGTTAGTGATAGTATGCACATAGATATACAGGGTGTCCCGTAATTCGATGCTCATAGCTTAAGGGCATTTTCTTTTAACAATTTCAACTCGGAAATTCCCCATACAGTTTTTTCCAAAACTCAATAGTTGAGAAGTAATGAGCAATATTGAATTCAACAGGGTGAGAAATGAACGAGGTAATGAATCAGAGAGAATGTTGAATGAAGTTATGTAATATTTTACTTACACGAATTAAATTGAGGTTTTTGTTCAAAATGTCGCTCCACTGCTTCACTACACATTCTGGCTCGTCTAATTATTGAAAACGCTATGGCTATACTCTGGGTCGTCTCTTATGGATGCAGCTGTTCCTGGGTTGTCATGATATTTTGAATCAGCTCATCTTTGGTTTGTGGTTGATTTGAATACACTTGACTTTTCATGAGTCCCCAAAGAAAAGTGAAAGTGAAAAGTGTATATAAGGCACTTTCGACTTAAAATTGTTGAAGGGATATGCCATTAAGCTATATTATGGCCATCGAGACACGGAACACCCTGTATATAGAATCAATGGTTATACAGTAGAGTGAATTGGGTGAATATGCCACGCTGGGAAATACGCCGTTTGATATTTTCGATTCGAGCCAATATTTGGCAACAATGTTCATTCAGCCATATTAGTTTCAGACAGAAAACACGCGTGAATGATGAACAGATCGAAAATATAAGTATTTCAGTGTATAACGGCAAAATAAAGGTAAGAACCCTATAAAATATGTTCTAATGTCAAGTTATTTATTGTGGTAAAGAAAGTTCTAAGTAGATTTGGTCAGTTTTAATAGGAGTATGCCAAAGAATGATTCATTAACTTACGCCGAGACTTACGCGTAATAAATATGTGTTAGGATTTTATTTGTCATAAGATGCAATATGGGGTATTATACTTCATATTTTTTTAACATTATATCCCGAGCAACGGCGTATTACTCTTACCTGCTATTTGAAAGTGCATACAATAATGGAAAGTGGTGAGTCAGAATTGGAATATGATGAATCAGAATATTGTGCACAATGCCGGGAAAACTATTTTGATAAAAAAGATCCGGAATGTTATTGGTTGCAATGTGTGGAATGTGAACATTGGG